TGCTAGCCGTCAGACCGTCGTATTGCTAACCGTGCTTGAGAAGTGCCCACATGACGTGGTTTTCGGTCTCGACTTTCTCTCTGCACACACCGCCCTTATCGACTGCTCGATGGGCCTTCTTCAGCTTGAACTGCCTTTTTACACCGATGTTGCCCATGATTCTCAAAGTCACCTTTGTGCCACCGAGTTCCTGCATCTTCCGCCGCAAGCCGCGACTTACGTGCAGCTCATGTGTGATCCGCTTTTGCACGGTGGTGAATGTGTCGTTTCACCAATTACCGATGTTATGCTAAAGCATTCTATTGCTGTCCCGCACACCATGGTCATAGTACGCCATAACGAGACTTATATTTCTCTTTTGAACTTTAGTCTCTGTGCGCACGTGCTGCCTGCTGGTATTAAATTAGGCGTAGTGTCGTCATTTCAAGAGTTTGTTATCTCTGAACTGTCAGCTGAGCAAGCACTTCTACACATCAGCTTGCTCACGGCGCCTAACTGTTCAAGCATTGACATTGCCAAAATGATAGCACCAGATCTTTCGCCCTCCGAAGCACAAGACCTCCACCGTCTCTTGACATCCTATGCGAATATATTCGATCTTGACAACCGACCTATGGTCGGGCATCAGTTGTGACCCATGACATCAACACCGGTGATGCGAACCCAATATATCGCCGCCATTACCGTGTCTCCGCTGCCGAACGCTCTGTCATCCAGAAAAAGGTCGAGAAAATTCCCACCAAAGGCGTCATCGAACACTCTTCTAGTCCCTGGGCAACCCCAGTCGTGCTTGTCAAGAATAAGGACAACACATGGAGGTTTTTCGTCGACTATAGACATCTCAACAAGGTAACTAAGAAGGACGTTACTCCTGACCAAGAATATGTGACGCCCTTGACTGCCTTCATGGCGCAAAGTTTTTTTCGTCCATTGAGCTTCGATCTGGTTATTCGCAGATCGCTCTTGATCCACGGGACCGAGAAAATACAGCATTTGTAACTCTCGATGGGTTATACCGATGTATCGTTGCAATGCGCCGGCCACCTTTGAGCGCATGATGGATTTCCTTCTGCACGGCTTCAAATTGTCTACTTGCTTGTCCTACTTAGCTGATATAATTGTTTTTTTCACCTACGTTTGCAAGCCATCTTGAGTGACTGTCCAGTATTCCTCAAGTATTCCGCAACGCTGGTCTCCAGCTGAACACCTCCAAATGCTGTTTTGGCCGTCTCGAAATAACTGTACTTGGCCACATCAATAACCCATCTGGGAAACAGCCTGATCCGGTCAAAATTCGCACAGTGACTCAGTTTCACGTAGCCTCTTCTGCTAGGGATGTCCGGAGCTTCCTTGGTTTATGGTCCTATTTCCGCAGCTTCATCCGGAATTTCGCCGATATTGCGCGGCCTCTTGCCGAGCTTCCTAAAAAAGACGTCCCATTTACTTGTAATTCGCCTCAAGTGCTGCATTTTTGGCACTCATTGAAGCCCTCACGACTACGCCAACATTAGCCCACTTCAATCAGACCGCACCGGCAGAAGTTCGTACTTACGCGAGTGGCCACGTAATTGGTGCTGTTTTAGTTCAGCGTCAGCATGAACGTGACTGCGTCATCGCCTACGCCAGCCGCCTGTTGTCCCCTCTTAAGAATAATTATTCTATCACCAAAAAAGAGCACCTTACTCTTGTTTGGGCTGTCGCTAAGTTTCGCCCGTACCTGTTCGGTCGCAGTTTTACTGTTGTAACTGATCATCATGCGCTCTGCTGGCTGTCGTCTCTGAAGGATCCCACGGGACGTCTCGATAGTTGGTCTCTCCGCCTCCAACAACACACCTTTTCGGTCGTGTGTAAATCTGGTCACTTTCATCAGGACGCCCACTGCCTGTCACGGTATGCAGTGGATCCGCCAGGTGCCCCAGAGAGAGCTACTCGGGCTTCCGTCTTATCAATACCAGACTTTTTTGATATCGCTTCTTAGCAACAACGCGACCCAGATTTACTTCCCGTCTTAGAAAGCCTGAGTTACGCTACTCCACCCACTTCTCTGAACTTGTATTTCTTTCATGAAGGGGTTCTCTGCCGCCACAACATGCGCCTCAATGGTCCTGACCACCTTCTCGTCGTGCCTTTCTATTTGCATGTATATGTTCTCCGACAGCTTCACGATGAATCTGCCGCTGGTCACCTGGGAGTCACCCGCACTTATGATTGCGTCTAGTGTCGTTTTTTTCTGGCCACGCCTATATCGCTCTGTGCAAAAGTATGTCGCCAGCTGCGACCTTCGTCAACGTCGAAAACGCTGAACATCGCTTCCAGCTGGCCTCCTTCACCCTATTGAGCTATCTGGAGAACCATTCTACCGCGTTGGGTTCGACGTTTTCGAGCCATTTACCACTTCTGCATCCAGGAACAAATGAGTTGTCATGGTGACCAACTACGCGACACGTTACGTGATCACCCGCGCTCTTTCAACCAGCTGCGCTACCGATGTCGCAGACTTTCAACTGCACGACATCATTTTGCATCACGGTGCTCCACGAGAGCTCGGTACTGACGAAGACCGATACTTTTTATCTCACGTCGCCCAGGATATCGTACGTTCCCGTTCCACGAACGACAAGTTCACAATGGCATACCATCCACAAACTAATGAGTTTACAGAGTGCCTGAGTCTCACTATCACGGACATCTTGTCGGTGTATGTTTTTCCAGACCACCGCGATTGGAATACATCGTTACCCTTCGTCACCTTCGCGCACAACTCCTCCAAACATGACACCGCAGGTTATTCCCTTTTCTACCTTTTTTATGGACGTCAAGCCTCTCTGCCTCTTGATACACTCTTTCCTGTTGGTTCCAGTTCTCCTGTGACATACGTGCGCGAAGCCATAGAACGAGCCGACGCAGAACGACAGATTGCCCGAGAACGACGCATACTTCCTTAATCCTCTCAGAAAGATCGGTACGCTCGTCACCACAGTGAAGTCTCGTATGCACCCGGTTCTCTAGTAGTCTTGTAGACCCCATGTCGTCATATCGGCCTCTAGAAAGCCTTTCATTTCGCTATGACGGACCATACAAAGTTCTACTCACGGTCTCTAACCTCCCCTACAAAATACAGTGAGTCGTCATTGAAGCGCACTCAACGCCACCACCACCTACTCTTGTGCACGTCGTAAGACTGCAGCCTTATGTGTGTACACCACGGCGTAGTACTACAAGGCAGTAGTGGGATTGTGGCATACACCGGTAGAGGGTCTCTGCCTGGAGCATATGTGGGCGTATCTATCTTTATTATACTACAGAGTTACGTCAGTGGCACTTCCATGTATTTCTCTCTCCTCTTAATGTTTTTTTCAAACAGACGGGCACGAATAAGGGATGCATATGTATGAGTGGGGACATTTCTTCTTCGTGCCCGTGTGCTGTTGAGGTGATATAGTTCCTTCTAGGCCGAGTGGAAGTATTGTCTGCCCTCGTTTCTTTTCGCGCTACAATCTTTTTCGTCAAGAAGCCGCGTGTGGGTCAGTTTTACGTATAGAGTGTCCCGTTGCGTGCGCCTCTTTTATGCTCTTCATTGGCTCCTTCCTGATCAGCTTATCTTCCTCACGGTCGTTTGTTGCATTAGCCCGCAAGTGACCTTCATGAATTGGCACCGAGTCCGAGCAAAAAAGACCAGCCAGCTAGCAGCTTTCCATCCGTAGCGGGACTTTAAAAACGTGTCCACGCTGTCCTGCGCTCAGGGTCTCCGGGATCCTTTGTAGTAGAGAAAACGACGACTCGCGATTGTCTCGACTAGATGCTTTTAGCGGCGTTGATCATCTCTATCCGTCTTCACGCACAAAGTGTGACAAGAAAAAGTGCCCCCGTCGACACTTCGGTTCCCGCGAAGCAACCCGCTCAGTGCCACGCGGAGCCTTCGAAGTTTATTTGCATCCCCCCCCCCCCCTTAATTCTCTCTCAACTTGAGAAGACGCTGCGTACTCGTCTTCTCTACAGCTCATCTGTTTATATTCATTTACGGTGAATCTCAAGTGGTCTTGGAACACTGCCTGATGAAATAACATGAGCTAACGATTGTTTTCTGAGTTTGTTTCTGGATTTGCAACGACCTAGAAGAGCCTTTACAAGCGGGTCTAAAAATTACGTCTGTTGGTGATCCATTGCTCACTGTGCGCCCATTGTATGCCATGACTAGTGCCGGTGGGTGGTACGTTTTTTTACTTGCTACTATAACTATAACAGATTGAGGGTAATGGAACAATAAACAACAGTGTCTGTGCTCGCCCCGAGGTTATTCGAGCGCTCGTCCAGCACGGTAGTGATGGACAACATTCGTATTATCGAACTGGCCTTCAAATGACCAAATATTATTAATCAGAGTAATTTTATTTGGGGTTTTTGGCCGCAAACCGCCATATGATTATGAGAAACTCCGTATAGGAGAGGACTTTGGGAATTTCGGCTATCTGATTCTCTTTACCGTGCACTGACACCGCACAGTACATGGGCCTCAACAATTTCTCCTCCATCAAAATGCGACCGTCGCGACAGGGATTGAACTCGCAACCTTTGGTTCAGCAGCCGAGTGCCATAGCCACTGCTCCACTGAGGTTCAAATTTATTTATTTATTACATACTGCAGTCCGTAGACCAAGCAGGGCCTCACCTCACCCGTCGCAGTAGGAAAGTGGCTATGGTGCTGGACTGGTGAACTGAAGGTCATGGGATCTGTTGTGGGCTCCGGTCCGGTGGTCAAATTTCTATGAAGGCAAAACACTACATGTCGTGTCATTAGAGTACGGTGAACGTTAAAGAACACTAGGTGGTGAGAATTTCTGGATAATAATAAATATATAGTAATTGTATTCTTATTATTATTATTATTATTATTTGGTTTGGATGTTTAAGCTGTGGTGCTGGCTTTAACACGATTGCGGCCATATACTGCGAATTCGTCGTTCTCGTAACTCAATGACAATGACGTTTCCAACGCACAGGATTCAGTGGAGTCTGTACGGCTCCCCAGCTCAACCACAAATGCCGGCGGCGACGACGACGGCCTCACTGTTCACGGGCCCCAAGTTCCGCGCGTCGTCAACTGCTGCCTAAACTACCTCGAAAAGCATGGTGCGTATCTCGCGCGTGTCATGGCCGAAAAAGCACGTGGCATTCCCTCGAGTCCGCGTAACCTATTCTGCATTCTACTTCCCCATCAGTGGCGTATCTGAGGTGTAGCGCACTAGGCTAGTGCCTTCCCCCCTCTCCTAAATTTTGTTTGATTATGGTGTACCGAGCGCAAAACGACACACGTCCGAAATTTTAGGGTCTAAGCTCCTTGGTCCCTCGTAGTATGTTGTAATAGCCACTTCTAGCAAGTTTCAAGAATGGCTCACTGGAGGGCGTTGTGTGCATATGTCCTTGACAGTGGTTCGGACTGTCACGGTGGAAGGACGTGTTTTTCGAGCGCTCCCGCTCGACTGCGCAGATAAGTGGTTTTGCTTGTGGGAGCTTCTCTTTATAAATACAAGGCAGCAGTTTATATCATTGTGGCATTTATTTTTACGGCTTTTTTGGGGGGTCAGAAACCAGGTATTTATTAGTTTGTGCGTGTGTTTTTTTGTGTGTGCTTTTTTTCTTTTGCCACCCCGTGGTGGAGATGCATGTTCATTGAACACGCAAATTATTGTATTAGAGTCTAAACTTCATTTTTTTCGTAGGGCAGGGCCCGAGTTTTGTAATTATCGAGTGAGACAAGTCATAGGAACAATTGGTGTCAGAGAGACATGGTTAAAAAGACTGTAAAGTGTTCAGAATGTGGCGTGGGGTAGAAAGTGGACCCAAGTGTAGAAGCGGATAGAGAAGAGGCTGCCGCGAAGTGTAGGCAATGTTAGGTCGAGGAAAAAATGGAGAAAATGATGGTTGCCCAGAGTTACCTGCTGATGAGAATCACCAAGCTAGAGACTGCGTTGGCGACGGAGCAAGAGAAAACGATGGCAATGGGAGAAAGGCTAAAGTCCGCTTAGGAAGCGCTAGCCAAGGTGAACAGAGGAGCAGCCTGTGGAGAAAACAGTAGGGAACCGGAAACCAGAACGGCGGGAAAGAAAGAGCAAGCACGTTTGAAAAAAAACAGGTTCAGCCTGTTCAATTGGCGCAAGGCCCAGCTTCAACGAAGTAGTCGTGGGGCTGGGAGGGGACACAGCAGCCAGCGTCACAGGTGCAAGCAACCCCCAGGTGCAGGACGCTCCAGCTGAAAAGTCGCAGCATGTGATAATCACCGTGGACTCAAATTTAAATCGATGCACAGAAGCCATCAAAGAGAGGGTAAGAGGTGACAAGAGGGTTGCAGTAGGGGCGTTCCCAGGACGCAAGCTCGAAGCAGTCATGAGGCAAGCGAGCGCAAAACTCAAACCTACAGCTGATAGACTAAACCTCGTGATAATTTCAGGCGTTCTAAACGATGTCTTAAATGAAGATACAGCAGGACTAGCAACCACACTGGCGAAAAGCGTCGATGACATGCACGCCACTTCACCTAAGGTACAGGTAGTGATATGCACGATACCGGAGGTACCGGTGCGTGATAGCAACCTGCAAAGAATGGTTGTCAACGCAAACCAAGAGATATGGCGGATGGGTTGAGAGAAAGCCTTTGAGGTGGGTGAAATAAACAGAGAGGTGGATAGGTGGGGTGATTTTCAACGAGACAGAATTTACTTCGATGGGCGGCTAGGTCATCAAATGGGTTGGTGACTTGCAGGACGCGCAGTAGCTTTTTTGGAGGGCAAGTGGGCACGTCGGGATGCAGGATAGCTAGTAACGAGGAAAACAATTAGAAAGACTCTTTGACAGGTAGTATGAACAGATACGATTCCAAAGTGGCACCAGTATCTAAGATAGGTAGAGTCCGGGGCAGAAAGAGGCACAGCCACGAGCGCCGAGCCACTTCATACATGGGGTATATTAACATGCATGGTGGTTGGAATAGGCTGAAGTGGGAAGAGATAGAAGAACAGTTAAGGGAGGAGAGGCCTATGGTATACGGTTTTCTAAAAACACATCACAGGGACATGTAACAACCTCCTAACAATCCTGACTACGCGTGGGAATATTGTAATAGAACAGAAGGCAGCAGAAAGGGTGGTGGTATTGGGGCAATAATAAATAAAAGTACAGACTGGCAAAGGGTCAAGCAGGAGTGCAAGGAACATTTATGGCTAAAAGGGAAAGTGGCAGGTCAAATGACACTTGGTTGGTTTCGTGTACTTGTGGACGGTTGCAAAGGCCAGAGAGATAAACCAGGCAATGGTAGAGTGTATACCAAAACACATTCAGGAGTTAGGAGTAGAGTGCGAGATAGTTATACTAAGAGATATGAATGCGCACATAAAAGATATAGATGGGTATACCGACCCGAAAGCAAAATGATCGTAGATAAGTGTGAAAGGCTTGATTTGATCATTTGCAACAGTACCGAGAAGTGAGAAGGAAAAATAACGTGGGAGGTAGGAAGGCTGCAGTCGACGATAGATTACGCACTGATGTCACATAGGATGTATCATAAGCTCAGGGGAATGCACATAGATGAAGATGGCCCCAGAAGTCAGGGTAGTGATCACAAACGTATCAAGCTAAGTTTTGAAAGAGCAGTGAAAGTGGGAAGGAGACAAGATGAGCAACTACAGGAAAATTTTTATTCAAAAAGGCAAATTGAAATAGCCACTCAACAAATGGAGAAAGTAATCACTGAGTATAATACAAAAGTGTGGACATACACGAATATAGTTAGACTGTTTGAGCTAGAGCTTGCTAAGGCAAGTGACAAGTTACCCCGGGTAAGAAGACACAAACCCAAAAGTTGGTGAGCTGAGGAAGGTAAGAGAGCTATATCTAAACGTCAGGAAGCCTCTAGGAAACACAGACATGCTAAGCAGAGGGGTGTACCGGCAGATAATATTGAAAGAAAATGGGAAACCTTTCTAAGCTGTAAAAGGGATGCATCCCTTCTGATCAATGAAAATATTAAAAGAAAGGGAGCTCAGTGGCTGGCAGAAGTACATAAAAAGATAAAAAGGCAGCCGCGAAATTTTCGAACCATCTAAACTCCATAATAAATAAGACGAGCTTAGAGCAGAGGTTTATAACTACAGCTCAAGGTGCTAGGCTAGAAGGAGACGAAGCTATTGAATATATAAGAACAAGGGTGACAGAAAATTTTCCACAAATAAGTGCTTTATGCACCACAACAGACAAGGATGAATCAAGTGTTGCAATGGCTCAATTTTCACAATGAGAGTGGGAAAGGGCTGAGAAAAAGGTTCCTAGTAGTACATCAAAAGGCCCAGATGACATTCCAATTATGCTGATAAAGACATTATTTCCGAAGTCTAAGCAGACTTTGAAAGAGGCAGTGAGCAAAATAATAATCGATGGTGAAGTTCCTTATAGATGGAAACTTAGCAGGACGAGCATGATCTATAAAGGAAAGGGGGACAAAGCTCACATAAAAAACTACCGTCCTATAACGGTGACATCAGTGGTCTACAGGCTGGCAATGCAGATTATAAAGGAAAGACTGCAGGCATGAATAGAGGATGAGGGGGTGCTGGGGGAACTGCAGAATGGGTTTCGGAAACACAGGAGGTTGGAAGACAATCTGTTCTCACTGACGCAGTGCATCGAAATAGGAGAAAAGGAACACAGGCCCTCGTGGCTAGCATTTTTGGATATCAAGGGAGCGTACGACGGCATGGTTCAAGCGGAATTGTGGGGAATACTGGACACACTAGGCGTGGAAGATGTAGTCACTAATCTTTTAAAGAATATCTATAAAGGTAACAAAGCAGTTATAAAGTGGGAAAAACAGGTATTCAAGCCTGCAGAGTTAAAACGCGGGCTTAGGCAGGGGTGTCCCCTGTCACCCTTATTATTCATGATGTACCTACAAAGATTAGAGGCCAAATTAGAGGGAAGTGGACTGGGCTTCAACTCCTCTTTTGTCCAACATGGAAAACTCATTTAACAGGCACTACCAGCATTGATGTACGCAGATGATATAGTGCGATTGGCCAACAAGGAAGATTTGCAGAAATTGGTGGACATCTGCGGTAATGAGAGAGATAGGTTAGATTTCAGATTCAGTAAGAAAAAATCAGCAGTCAAGATCTGTAATGACAATGAAGGAAGTGAGCTTAGAATACAGGAGGTCACGCTATAGATAACAGACAAATACAAATATCTTGGCGTATGGATAAACAATGGGGCCAAATACCTAAGGAAACACGAAATATACCAGACGACTATAGGTAACAGGAATGCAGTGGTAATGAAAAACAGGGCACTGTGGAATTACAAAAGGTATGATGTTGTGAGAGAAATATGAAAAGGGGTCATGGTTTCTTTTCTGACATTCGGCAATGTGGTCTTGTGCATGATCAGAAGTTCAAGAAGATTAGAAACTAAGCAACGTGTAATAGGTAGGCTTGCCTAAGGAGCTCGCGAGAATACACGGAATCAGGGAGTACAAGGCGAAATGGGATGGATATCATTGGAGGGCAGGAAAGCTAGCAGCAAGATAAAAACTGAGAAGCGATTGAGAGAAATTGGGGAGGGGCGGTGGGCTAGGAAGCTATTCAGCTACTTGTACATAAAGAGTGTCAATTCAAAATGGTGGAAGCGAACCAGAAAATTGACCGGTAAAAACTTAGAAAACAGCTAGGGCCCTAACCCAAAAGATTTATTCGTTAAGAAGGTGAAGGAAGCTGAGACCGATATGTGGAAAATTGTCATGATTAAGATGTCCGCACGAGAGATCTATCGAACTTTTAAGCAGGAAATTGGCAAGGAAAAGATCTAGGATAATACTCGGGGTAGTTCTCTACTGTTTCAGGCCAGAACGGGAGTATTGCAAACCAAGACATATCGGGCCAAACACGGAGAAGTAGACACGGTATGCAATGCGTGTGGAGAGGAAGAAGAAACTGCCAAACTCTTCATAATGTTCTGTAAAGGGCTTCACCCTTTTGATCAGCATGATGGCGCAGAGTTTTTCAAAGCACTGGGGTTTAAGGACAGGGAGGGCAAAATAGACTTTAAGCGGGTAGAATTACCTAAAAGGAGGTTCTCTGATTGGTGGCTGAAATCAAGGCACGAGTGAAAATTAAACCCTCACTGCAAAGTACGATTCCTCAACCTCACTATTTGAAGAAAAAAAATTCTAGTTTTTTGTTCATTAAGTATTATGGCTTGGTGGCGCTAGCCGCCCAATCTAAAGGGTACAGCCACATCTATCCATCCATCCATCTATCCTTGGAAGTAATAAAACTAGATGGTGTTCATGGTTTCCTTATATTTGACGGTTAGATAGAAAAGCGTCCGTCTGTCCGATGCGTGCTCTAGTGTGATACGAGCGGACAGACAGACAGACGGACGGATGTTTCGCCCCACTCACCATCATTCACTCCGATGATATGCTGTGGTTTTTCCGCCTGATTCCCATTTCAGATCAATGAAATGCCCCCTCCCCTCTTCCTGAAGAACAAAAAATTGCTGCGTACACCCTTGCACTCCGTGCCCGTATATTGTGTTCACAGATGCAGAGTTGCCCCAATATATCTATACTTCAGAAACACCTGTGCTATCGCGAAGAAAGGCATTAGCATAACGGTTCAATGTATCTGTGCAATAAGTCAGCCAGGCACCTTGTTTGTTAAAATCTACCTGACTTTCTACTGCATTCACGCTGATTTTGGGTCATGCCTTCCTTGAGTTGTGCAGTCTGCGACATATGTATAAACACTTCAGGTCTTGAACGGCATTTCTTTTCACTTCTAATCAGACTCTCCGTAATGTATGAGATTATTCTTCTTTAAAGTGTAATTACCTTAGTAGCCAACACCATACCCAACAGCGCCGAAATTGTGCGAGCAAATGTGGTATGTTTAACTTAGCGAGCTTCAAGCTAACTATGAACTTTGCGTAATGTGTATCTGCTGATGCCCGGTTGTTAATATGTAGGTGTTAATGTTTACTCAACTGACAGCAGCGACGCGTCTCGTGAACAGTCGAGTGTGGGACCTAGAGAAGTAAGGTTCTCCCCACTCTGTAATTATATGTGGTGAAACCAGCTTTACAAGCATTGCAAAAACGTGCCTTTTCGCTTCCGGTCCGTAGAGCTAATTAGTCCTGACTACGTGTGAACGCAACTCAGGGGGAACAGGTGGCACTAATAGTGTGCATTGCTTGCATCGCAGGTCTGAACACCGTGGGCATATTTAGAGTCAATGGGTCAAAGCGACGAGTTCGCCAGGTAAGGATGCAGTTCTGTTTTTAGTATTGTGACTACATTCATAATCTGGTGATATAGGTTTTGTATGCTCAGTATTATTTAGAGTAGTTTGTTTCTATATAAAGTGTACTTCTACCACTTACAATGCTTTAGTGCAAGTCTATCATTATCAACCTTACATGGCTAGCCACCCTAGCAGCATCTTATGGATCGTTGATCACATTAAATATACATAACGGAACTATGCTCATCTGAGTCAACAAAAGAAGGAGAGCCTAGTACTTATGTTCCAGCGAACAAACACCCTGTAGTCAAAAGGATACATGCCAGCGCCAAGTACAAATAGTGACACTTGCAGTGCCGTAGCGCCACATTTACACAAAGACTTGTTTTACCACTATTTCTCATCGATTGGATTCGATAGCAGAATTTATGAAGTGTCACTGAATAGTATTTTCGTTGTTGCCGCATCCTTTGTACTGGAAGGATTATTGACATGAATATTTTTTACTGATAGCACGTGTAACTCTATGTTGCATATAATAAAACCCTAGTCTGAGTGTATTCAAGTAATGTCACCAGGAAAATTATATCTGCCTAAAGCCAAGTTCACAAGGCTTTTTGGTGAAAGGGTAAATTCGTTATAGAAGGAGAAACAGAAGGGGCAGTTTAAAAAGAAAAATAATGAGCGCATAATGCATAGGCGTACCAGCCGAGGAGGCAAGGTGCGCGCGAGCTTCCCCCCCCCCCCTGAGAGAAATAAGGGAAGGCTCAACCCCCCCAACTTTCGACGGTGGTCATTCTTGGCTGCATGGTGGGAAAATGAACAAGTAATATCAAGTAAGGTGTAGTTTTTCATCACAACAGTAATTGCTCAATTATGTTCCTAACGGAGAATGAAACTTTTACCAGGCTATGTTACAAGATAGTGAAATTTTGCCGACCTTGCTGCTTTGATTATATATATATATATATATATATATATATATATATATATATATATATATATATATATATATATATATATATCCTGGCTGACGAGCTAGGTAGGCATGCTGCCCCCCCTCCCCCACCCCCGATCGCGACAGAGTTGGTACGCCACGGACTGAGCGCTATTTTTGTGCCCTTTTTTCTTCGCTCCTCTTTTTTTTTCTTACCCTGTTGACTCGACCTTGCGGCGCATATGCCTCGTAAACCATATAGGCCAGCCAGTCCAACAAACGACTCGGTTAATGTGCACAGTTAATTTGCCACTGGTCACAACTGACAAATTTCTGGGTTTGTTTTTGTTGTATGAAAAATTCCAAAATGTGGGAGCAATTACGTATGATCAAATATTTGTTATTTAAAACTAATTAACGCAGTTGCGCGACGAGTTTGACAGCGGTCGCGAGGTGCACCTTGACCTGGAGAGGCCTCACCCACACGACGTGGCGCAGCTGCTTAAGGAATTTTTGCGCGAGCTGCCTCAGCCACTCCTGACCTGTGACCTGTACCAGCCTTTCCTGTACACCCAGCGTAAGTGCCACGTGTGTTCGCATCCTATTTAATCTGGTGTTTGTACACCACTTCTGTTAACTCCGAGTCCACTTATTCAGCACTAATTTTTTTTGTTTCCATTGATGATGATTCCTCACCTTCTTTTGTCCTATTGAACTCAGCACTTCAAGTTCAGTAATTTTCAATTCAAGCATAATTTATTATGAAATCATATTTAGAATTGTCACAGTTATGTACACGAAGATTGTGCATTGTGGCCACTTGATTTCTTGTGCGTGAGAAACGCAACGGGCCGTTTACTGTTTGCATGCGTGTATCTCTTGTACATGTCGAACTGTAATGATTGCTGTTAACCTGTTAATTTGCACATGTTTCTTCTGTATTTCCTCCGCTTTGATATGTATACGTACATATATTTCGCATATTGCCGTCTTACTCAATGTCCCCCATAGGGCTTCATCGTAGCTTAAAATAAAAAAATGTGGACGTCTGGGCACAGCAAATGTCGGCTACGGGTGTGACCTAACGCATTTACGCTGTGCTATAGGCGACCACTTGTTAAATCTTGCTTCAGGATCATATGGGCATGCTCGTTGTTTTTGTTTTTTTTTTCAGCAAGAAGAATAAGTGCTTGCGCAGATATAGCGAGGATAACACATTTTCTTTATGCGTGAAAATAAGCAACCAGTTTAGCTTAACCAGGTCTACTGAGAAGCGTTCTTTGTTCGAGTCGAAACATACTTCGCCTCGATGACGGTCAAATCAGTCGCGACATTAAAATAAAACGAACAGACCAGGTGTACTACTCCGTGAGGATACGCAGATTCATGATGTCGCACAACCGCCCCTCTCGTAGGTGTTCAGGAAAAGGCCAAGCAGCTGGACATCCTGCAGCAGTTGGTGCGCCTCCTGCCCACGCACAGCAGGGACACCCTGTGGGCCCTCCTCAAGTTTCTAAACAGCGTAGCCGAGAACTCGGTCGACAAGAAGTCTTCCACGGGACAGACCGTGAGTGCTTGCTTGAGCGTGCATTCTCTATAGTAGCGCATGCTGGAACAAATGTTTTATCTGCACGACCATTCTGCTCATCATCTAGTATACGTTAGGAATCTGAGCATGAGATAGCGGTTTCGACCTTAGGTGCAGTGGTAGTACTAGGGTGTTATGAGGCAGAACTATTGATGTCACTATCGAGGCTATCGATAGCTGAGTCACTACCGAACTCCATCAGAAAATGACAGCGCTAATTCAAACAGCGACTGAGAAACATCACACGAGGAAAGCGCCCGTGTGATGTTTCTTAATCCACGTTTGAATTGACGCTGTTTATTCCTGATTGATTTGCATCCAAGTGCTCACATCCATTCACTTCTAAATTATATAACCATCGATGAAAAAAAAACTATCGATAGCACTGTCCTCAGTGCGGTCGTTAGTATATCATCACTCGCGCGAACTTATCACAACACAGACTTCGTCAGTCACCACATCTCCTAGTGCGTGATGTACCGTTAAGCAGGAGGGGCAATCTAAATGCAAGAAAAAAGACGTGCTTCAATACCTTTTCAAAAATTCTTGGCTGAAACTTGATAGTTACGACGAAGTGATCCTACGTAGCGAAAAGTAAGCCCCTACTTGTGGCGTAACTGGGCGGTTTCAAGCTGGCACTGCGTTCGTAATTTCAGTATAAAATATCAACAACGAAGTTTACTGATTGTGTGGTGTAGCTTGCTATTTTTGAATATCGTTTTATGGATGGACACATTCCAGTTTTTTTCACCGCTGAAATAATTTGTTTCGCAAAATTGGTGGTTCATGGCGATAATAATTTTCCATCTGCGACACACGGCGAACCAGGAGCACGCCAGCTGTGCTGTAAAATGCGCCCAAAAACTAAGTGAACTGAGTATTGCTGATGATATGCCCCGCCGCTGTGGTCTAGTGGCTAAATTATTCGGCTGCTGACCGGCAGCTCGCGGGAGCAAATCCCGGCTGCAGCGGCTGCAGTTCCGATGGAGGCGGAAATACTGTAGCCCCGTGTGCTCAGATTTGTGTGTGCGTTAAAGAACCACAGGTGGTCGATATTTCCGAATCCCTACACTACGGCATCTCTCATAATCATATGGTTGTATTGGCACGTTAAACATCACATATCAACCAATCAATTGATTATTGCTGATAGTATAGAATAGATATATCAGGAACGTTAGGGAATCATCTGGTCAACAAACAGAATATTTATTCACAGTTTCATTGGTAGTTATTTTGATAGTAATACTACTTATTATACTATCGATTGCACTATCGGTAGTTTCTTCGAAATATCATTAGTTTAAAAAAATCTTTCGAATGTATTGATAGTCAAATCACCGTTGGTTTTGGATCAGTAGGGCATGGAAAAACTACAAATGGTGCTTAATCCAGAACCTCTATCTCGCTACACCGTTCCTCGAGGCTGTTGCCGTTGGCTTGAGCACTCTGCACTAGCACTCGTTAACGTGCATGCGCATAGGACTAAAGCGTGCTAGGATGTAGCGTTTTAGCGTAATGTTGCATCTGTCACAGTCTACGCTGTACATTTATTGTGAGTAGCATTGCATTTTCAAAGCTATCTCTACTGGCCACCATTACGAATTTGAGGTGTTGGGTACAAATTTGTTGTTTATATAAATTTAGACAGCTGGGCATCGCCATTTTGGGCTGTTAAGTCGATGTTTGTTGGTTTTTTCGTGTGTTTCGTGTATTGCGACGTGAATGATTAAGTTCATAAAAAATCGTATGCAACCCCTTTTTTCTTTTCATGCGTATGTGTTCGGCCGTAACAATGTTCGTTTGGTTGTCCCAGTATGGCGGCACTGAAACCCATCTATCTAGTAAATAGTCTGTAGTTGCTGCCGACTATATAGACGGTTGCTAACTGTCGTCCCATATGATGCTGGTGTGCGTGCATTGACACGCGCGTTTGTGTGGGCAGCTTCCAGGAAACAAGATGGACACCCACAACCTGGCCACCATGTTGGGGCCCAATATTTTGCGCCTCAGCAATACTTCCGAGAAGGACAAATTCATCGTGGAGAACAACGAGAGGGCCGAGGAGCACGGGGAGGTCATCCTTGTCGTGCGTCAGCTGATCGACAACTACCAAGACCTCTTTAAGGTGAGCGCACGAAAAAAACGTTTGAAATAGCCGTACTGTATGTGTTCTATCAACTCCCCCTAGAAAAATTATGCCAAAAACTTGAACCGCGAACGCGCCGCGCTCCCTCAGATTTTACCCTCCCCCTCCGGTACGGAGGCGAACGCCACTTCGAACATAGCAACGCTCTTACAGTCGCCTCGGAGCAACTGTGATGTCACGCATCAGAGTGGTACGGAGACGAGTGGTCGCACGCGGCGGACGGTCGCAACACGCGGTAGAAGGAATGGCCTCCAAGATTTTGTGCTCGCTGCAAGCTCTCAATTGAAGAAAGAGACAAGTTCCAGGCATGGTTTTTTTAGGAGGCGTTGGTTCTATCATATCACGGGCCTGGTGAAATGCAAACTGACCTAGTCCCCTTCTTTACTCTCCATCTGTTGTGTGGCGTAGGTATCGGCTGAAGACTTGGACCGTCTATACAGAAGGCTTCTCGTCGATAGCCCCGAGGACCTTGAAATCCTCCTCAGGAGGCGCTTCCACTGTGCACCTGGGTAATTCTTCTTGCTTGCCATGCATCTGCGTTCATTCTGTTTAAATGTTTACTGAATATAAACGATGATTTCTATATAAAGAAGTCACAGTTCCGCCTCATGCGATAGGAAAATACTGGAATGTTATAGGCATCTGTAAGCCGCCTGTATACTATGTGGCGTAACTTTAAAACTACGGCGGAAGACTACACGACCGTTGCAGCAATCGAGACTACCTTTGTGCTGTCAATTACTTTATCCTAAACATAACGGTGAGACCAGCGGGTGAAAAGTGCCGTCTGCTGATACCTGTAGAGACGAGCGCGCGCGATGGCGCCAGAATGGGCAAAATGTGGATGATGATGACGAAGAAGGTGGTGACAGTTCGAAGCTGATCTCATATTTGTTTCGGGCGGGCAAGCTTAACTGGTCCTAACGATAGAACAAAAAAATTTACAAAGTAGCCAAGCAGGCGCCCATCTGCTCCGTGGGCCTTTCGCGCGACGAAAGATGGCCAGCACGCTTCCTCTTCTCTGATAAGCGGTCGTGCTCTGCGCTGGCACGCTTTTATTCGCGAATAGAAAATATACAGCTCGCCAGGCGATGTTATCAATTTTAGCTTTATGTGGAACATCACGGAGGCGGCGACCGCGATGCAAAATGTGCACCGAGAGTGTCGATATAAATGTGTTCCGGCACGATCGAGTAAAAGTGGAAGAATTACTTAGTCGGCCTATCATTTCATCTTGTAATAACAAAGCTAATATTGATAAGTTGGCGTAGTGATCATTGAAAGAGTAAATGACTACTTTGTTGCAGAGTTCCACGCGCTGTTCAAAGATCTGAAGAAGACGACGTGGGCAACCAAGTCAATGCAGAGGACGACGAACAGGAGAACAGCACGGGGAAGGAGGAAAAGGCCTTCAAGAAAAGCAAGATGTTGGCGTTTTCCGTACTTAGCTGCTTCGGCGGCTCATCGGAGAAGCGGCACGACTCGGGCGACGCGTCTTGTCGGCCGCCCACATCGTCATACTGATGATGTTTGAATTTTTTTTATCGATTCACCATTCCGCCATGTCACAATAGTCTGCCTCATACCACGTTTCGGTGCTCTCTGCCAACCTGCACCTACTCTCCGATGTCTGTCAGTACCTCGCAGTTCACTGCTCACTGCACAGAGAACAATCGTAGTGTCTATAAAGGTAAAGTGGTATCCTTCACAAGAAATCTCTGTCAAAAGAGTAGCTAATTTACCTCTATGTGAATGCTGAACTCTCTGTCGTAATTGATATCCTCTGTCGGGATGACAGGATTGTCATGCTCGAGAAAGCTTCTACGCACCGTTTTTTCGGATCTTGCCCACGAGTCTCATTCAGGCATTAGCCGTACCGAAGCTCGCCTGAGAGAGCCTTATTGGTGGCCGTGAATGGATAGCCAGAGTGAGTAATTGGTGCGCAGATTCGTGATTTACCATTCTTCTCACAAATCCGGTCGTACCTTTCCAGCGCCACTGCAACCTGTTCGTCTTCCTGAGGCGGCGTGGGAAACATTTGCCATCGACGTTGTGGGACCTTTCACGAGAGCTTCGGCCGATTACCAATTTGCAGTTACTGTAATTGACTATTATAGCAAGTGGCCTGAAGTGGCTTCCGTGCGAGATGCGATCACGTCTACGGAGAAGTTCTTACTTCAACATTTTGCACGAGAAGGATACCCATGTGGTATTCTATCTGAACATGGACAACAGTTTTCTTCAGCAAACTTTGACGAATTTCTCGCAGAGCGCGGAATAACGCACTACTACTCCTCTGTGTATTACTTACAGCCTAACGCCTTAGTCAAAACATTCAATGAGGTGCTGAAATCATATATTCAGCCAGCTCTGTTTGAACTGCGTGATTTAAGAACAGCCATGCTTGATTACCTGCAACTATAACGCTAAACACTTTACGTGGCTACTGGTGCAGCACCCGAAGTTTTTCATAGACGCCAACCTCGACCCAGACTTGACATTGTGGAATTACCTGACAAATGCTTCATTACGGACCCGTCAAGAGCGATTGAGCAGTTGTGAGTGCTACACCGATAAAATTTCCCGCCGTGGTGGTTTACATATGGTGCTTTTGAAACATTAAACTCCAGATATCAATCAATACACCGAATAAAAACTTGGAGCCGAAGAACACAGTTTCGTCATTGGTGATTACGTGCGTGTTAAGGCATCTGCAGTTAATTGCAAGCTGTCCGCTCAATTGTCATCGCCCAAGAACATCATTGGATAACGTGGACCGGCCTCGTATCTCTTGAACAATCTTCATCTGTGGAACGCATCCACGTTAGCCGCAGTTCACATCAGAGCAGTCGACAAAATGAAATCATGCACCTCTGCTGTTATGAACTGGTGACCTGCACCTAATCGGTCGTATAGTGCACCACAGCCTGACACCTCTGCTTTTATGAAATGGTCACAGCATCTAATCGGTCTTCTAGTGCACCACAACCTGACACATCTTCTCTTGTGAATAGTCACCTGCATCTAATCACTTGTGTAATGCACTACAACCCAACACATCAAAAGTGGATTGCCATGAAAATTCAAACCCTGGATCATCTCTACCAGTGGGCACGCAAACTTCAACCAGTCTCTCAGTATTAAATGCACCTGTAAGAAAAAGCCAGCGAAAAAAAAGACCCCGAAGATATTGCAAGACTTCCTTGGGGTTAAACAAAACCACCCCTTGCGTCTGTTTTTATTTTTATTTTTATTTTTTTGCAAGAAAGGATATGTCACATAAGGCGTCGCTACCGACTACAGCGCTGTGTGATGGCATGCACTCGGTGGTCACCACAGGGAGGAAGAAGATAGAATACACAAGATGTCTCCACTTTTGCTATGACTTTCATTGTGTACAAAGTCACACCGTCTTCTCCAGCTGCTTTTTTACAAGACATATCTTGTATTTCGGTGTCTTTCCAGCTTTGATTCCACTTGATGTATCTGGATGACTTGCGTGGAAGCTGTAGTTAAAGAAGTCTTTTAGCAACTTCGCCGTCTGAGTGAACTTGCTGACAAAAACGCGCCGCTCATCTTTAAATGCGTGAATTTTGCCCTTCCGTCCTTCCACTCTATAGCCGATTCAATGCTCCTGTACTTTTTCACTGCTGCTTCTACCCTTTCAACATTAGAATTGGGTGTGTCTTTGAGCTTCTGTTCGGTGATCAGCTTTGATAGCTCAACAAATTCTATTTTATCTCTTTTGGTAGTCACATTTATACGCTTTTATAAAGTTTTTTGTGAATTCAGAAACCTTGCTTACTTACGGTAGCTATTAGCCCGAAATCAACACGAGAGACAGACAAGCGCTTGTCCGTCTCCCTTGTTTCTCTCACGCCAAAAGCTACCGTAAGGATGAACCGGCTTGTCCTACAATTCACTCTGCTGAAATTCTTGCGTACTTCCCGTATTGTGGTTTTCCTACAAATTAAATCACTGCTTCACAAATCAGTCTAGTTATAGCGTCATTCCCTCTGTGTTGTTTGTTTTTTC